TAATGTCTTAAAGTCCGGTCTTCAAGGTCTTATCCTAGGGTCAAACTTAGGCTCTGATACCAACTGTAACACCCCGAAATTTTAAAAAAAATTTAAAGCTTATATAATAAAGATAAGTTCTCATAAAATCCCAAACAGAGTAATACTAATCACAAGTGTACGGGGTGCTATGCCACATCTAACTAATATCCTCAATACAACATTATGGCACACAGGCCGAAATGAAACACTTCTATCTAATCCACGATCTTCTAGCACGCTCTGGGATCTACTCGTCTGTGCCTGAAAGCCAAATATATCTGTTCAGCGAAAGATGCTGGTAACCCACTCCAACGCGTTGAAATAAATTATAGATAGATATATATATAGATATACGAAAATCATTTTGAAGCAGAAAGATATATACTTAAGAGACACTAGTTTTAAAACCAGGAATAGACTCGGCAGATAGGGATAAGCACATTCAACAGTTATAACCAAGCATATAAAGATACTAGCATATATCCTATGGTCATAAATCCACTTCATCTCGTTCACGTCATCATTCAATTCTTATCTCATCACACAAGCACACTTTGGTGGCGCCACAGGACCAATCGCATGCCCATACATGAGGGTCAGCGCATATAGCTCTGACACGGCCCCGCAGCACCCTGCCTCGTATCGCAATACGAAGGGGTCGATCGCGACCGGCCGATGAACCGCAGCTCATCATAATGTTTAATCGCAACCAAACAGTGGACCGCAGCCCAAGAGTGATCATCTAACCGCAGCCAGGAATATGAAGCGCAGCTCGTGTAAAACGTTTGATCGCAACCAAACGGTGGACCGCAGGCCAAAAGTGATCATCTGACCGCAGCCAGGAATATGAACCGCAGCTCATGTAAAAGTGTAAAATAATGGATCGCAACCAAACGGTGGACCGCAGCCGGAGAGTGTAATTCTGACCGCAGCCAGCTTCTGAACCGCAACTCAGGAACAACCCATTTGATCGCAACCAAATTAGGGTATCATGAACACATAACTCATAGCAAGCACATGCAACCCACATTAACATATTGGGAAAGAGGAGAAAACGTATAATGAAACCTATGCGTGGTCATTCACATACTAGGAATAATCCTATGGGGTTCATAATTCTTTCACCTAGGCCAACGGGATACGAATTCAACTAGCATGCAATATATAAGACTCATTTATCTTACGAACGGTACCTGAAACATCAAACTAGACTTAGGCACGATAAACGGAGTCCGTTGGGACACCACAAGGGTCGGGAAAACATCAAACGGGGAAGCCGAAGTCCCAAGGTGGGTAAATTCCAGCGGGTAGCCGGTGGGTGGAAGACCACCCGCCGGCTGCCCGCCGGCGACAGACCTCTGGGCAGCGGGTGCCCGGCGGGCAGTCGTCTGCCCGCCGGCTGCCTACTGCCGGCGACGTCCTTCTCGGGCAGCGGGTAGGTGGCGGGTCTCCCTACCCGCACCTATCCCCCACTGACTCTTTATCAAAATAAACGTCCCGGGATCCGTTGTGGAACCCGAAACCATGCTTAGACACTTTTAAACGCAATTGATGACACCACGTAGACAATTAACGGATCAAAAGCAAGAATCATATAGCTCATATCCTATCATGACTTCTAAATATAATCAACACCCGAACATGCGAAATCCCACCCAATTATATCAAGAATAACACAATACGAAATCCCCAATTTTAACCTAGGGCTCTAATCATATTCAAATCATCAAAATCATGGTTCATCTTTTAACATCAAGAAACATCAAGATTCATCAAGAACATCACATAATCATCAAGAACCTCTCATCATCATCAAGATCATCAAGATCACACATAAAATCATCTAACCAATTATCAAGATCATATCATCAATATCACAAACGATTCATCAAGACACAAGTGTAGAGAGGAGGCCAAAAAAGATAATTATAGCAAAGAAAATAGGTTTTGTTGAGACATGGGTTACCTCTTAGCCTTAATTAGTTTCCTTGGTTATGAAGGGTCTTTCTTTAAGATTCCTTCTTTCTTGATTTCTCCTAGGGGATTTGTTGGAACTTCTTGTGTGGTGAGAGATTATTGTGGTGTGGGTTCTAAGTGCCTCCTAGGCCCCCTATTTATATATTTAAGAGTCCTAATTAGGGTCCAAGTGGTATGAGTTTGCTAATTCTATTTCCTATAGGACTAGGGGATTGGTTTTAGGGATAAGGGTCCATGGACCATGGTGGACCTTTCTTAATTAATTACTGTAATTTAATTCTTTCTTTTGGGTAAATGATTAAATGATTAATTGGTTTTAGGGGTCGTAACACAGGGTGTTACAGTGTGAGTTGATGTATTTATACATATTTTTTTGAAATTATTATGTGTATTTATATTTTATAAATTATATTTTATTATTATAGTTTTATCTTTATCTCTATCTCTATCTATATCTCTATATATATTAAAGCATAATGAAGTATGGAAAAAAGTTTATTGTGTTCAAATTTATTGGTAAAGTTTTATATTTAATATAATTTGTGTATATATTCATTTAAACCTCAATTATAATTAATTTGACTCCACATATATAAAGAGGAGAAATTAGATATAAAATAAATATAGTTCTTACATAAATAATTTTGTTCAAATGAATAAGTTTTTGGTGGAGATTTTCGACAAATATCACCTATTATTTTATTTACAAGTTTTATTTAAATACGTTAGTTATATACTTAAAGTAGTTATTTCAAATTCAAATTTCTTTTAAAATACAAATTCATATAATAATACAAGTAACAATAAACTTTAAAATCAACATAATAATAGTATAATTAAACTTTTAATAATATTAAATATTACATTGTATAGTTATATATTACATTTTTAATCAAACTAATTTTGAGCTCAAGAACTCAAGTACGTTTTTCTATTTCCACAATCATTACTTTCTTTGCTAATTCAGAAGATGTCAAAAATTTAATTGATAAATTTGTTAAATTAATAATAGTTCATGCATCACACGGGACAATTACTAGTTTGGATATATTCTTGCATATGTTGATTGTATATAATTAGGGTCCAATGGTAATGTGAAATTTTGCAAATTTTAAAATTAATTGAGTCATCATATGTAATAAGATATATATACACACACATACACAAACACAATATCAAATGAAATATACCTCTCCTGTACAACTACCTATTATGCATTTGTGGATAAACAATTGTGCATTTTAAAACAAGCATTTTATTGTGGTGACATGCCTCCAAGTAAAACATATGCAATTGGAAAAAATATCAAATTTCTTCATTGCAATTTAATTTTAAAACATTTCAATGTACCTTTCCAACTTACATGATTAAAGAAAGAACAAAAAGGTATATACAATGTAAGCAATGTGATTAGATTTTCCACGCAAAACATCTTGGAAAAAAATATCAAATTTCTTCCATTGCAATTTAATTTTAAAACATTTCAATGTACCTTTCCAACTTACATCTACTATCTATCCACTATATCTACTATCTACTATATATACTAATAAGAGCCCAAGAGAGTTAGGCCTATAATGGGTAGAAAAAATGGCGGTCAAATTTTTTAATCAAATGAATGGCTCAGATTGATCAGATTTTAATGTTTCCTTAAGATTTCCTAATTTATCCCTAATGAATATGATTTTCCGTTAACTTTTCCGTTAAATATTATCTTTTCCGTTAATTTCTGTTAGTTCACCGTTAACTTATTGATTTCATTAAGAAAGGTCTTAGGTTCGAATCTCATCCCAATTAAAGTTGGCATAATTAGTACTCTATTTTACTCTTATTAAATTAAATAATAATTTAATAGCTACAACAAAAAATAATACATATGCATTTCTTTAATTTAGAATTATGTGTCTACAATCTCTTTATTCAAAAAAAAATTTATTCATTATCAATAAATTAAATAAGAGAAATAATTTCATTAGTTATATTGTATTTATTTTTTTCCAATATAAAAATTCTTTACATTCAAATTCATCAATTGATTATATTTGCTACATTGTCCCTACAATGTCTTAATTAAAAAAAATTATTCATTATCAATAAATTAATTAAGAGAAATAATTTTATTAGTTATATTGTCTTTATATTTCTCCAATGTAAAAATTATTTACATTCAAATTCATCAATTGATTATATTCACTACATTGTCTATTATCTTTTTTTGTGCACTATTTTTTTAATTAAATATCAAAGTTATAATACAAAATAATGCTATATGTTTATTTACCAAGTATTTTATTAATACCATGAAAAAATTAAAAAAAAATATATAATTAATAAAGTCAATCATATGAACTACTTGAGAGATTTGTTGACAAAGAGAGTATTCAAATCACACAACAAATTTAAGTGAGAACTACCTCGCAATGTCCTTGTTAGGCAATCAGCAGTTAGTTCTTCAATATTAGTATATATATAATATTTTATGCCCTAATTTTTATTTGCTCTCCATTATGTCCCGTATTTGGTTTCAACCATACCTATACAATTATTTTATTGACAATTATAATCAATCTTGACTATATTATCTTGCATTTGTAAACTTAGAATTGCCTATTTAAATACGCAAATTTAACATTCAATTATCTATGCATGAACAATTTCAATATAATCTTGCCTTGATATACTTTAAAATACTTATTAAAAAAAAACATTGGGCATTATCCCAATCGCGCAATGCGCGTAAAAAACTAGTGATTAAAGAAATGACAAAAAAGTATATACCATGTAAAGCAAGGTGATTAGATTTTACTAAAATTATTTTGTTTGTTTGATAATTTTTTTTTTTTTTTTTTTTGAAAATTGTTTGTTTGATAATTTAATTGTATATATATTTATTTAATGTACAATGACCTAATTACATAAAAATACTAATTTGCCATATACATGTGATGATATATAACTGGATTACTATATAAGTGGGAATGATGAAATAAATTAAAGTACCCATCGGATCGATTCAATGGCCCTGAAAGTTGAAGTTTATCAGAAAGAGAGAGTGAGGCCATGTTCACCAACTCCCCAAACCTTGAGAAACTACAAGCTTTCTCTCATTGATATAATATCCTCGACTTATTATAACCCCTTTGTTTTCTTCTACAACTCCGGCGCCGATCGCCACGATTATGATGAGCTCAAGAACTCGCTCATGAAGACACTGTCCCTCTTGTATCCGCTCGCCGGAAGAATTAAAGATGCATCGACCATCGAATGCAACGACGAGGGTGCGGATTTTGTCCTAGCTAAAGTTACCAATTGTGATTTGGGTGAGTTTCTCCGGCACCCCAAACACGAAGATATACGCCAGCTGCTCCCACTTGATCCCTACCCAAACCCTATTCACTCCGCCCTGCCAATGTTAGCTGTTCAGGTCAACACATTCCGGTGCGGCGGAACTGCGGTGGGGTTCTGCATTTGGCACGGCCTGGCGGACGGCGGCGCGATGACCGGATTATTTAACACATGGGCGGCAATCAACCGCGGAGAAGGACCCATTAATCCCGGCGGTCTCATCGCGGACGCCTCCGCAACTTTCAGGCCGGGGAACCTCGTCAGCTCCCCGCTAAAGCCCTTTCCCCTCGAGAAACAGGGTAAGTACTCCTCGAAAAGATTTGTTCTTTGCAAGCGGGATATTGAGCGGATCAGAAACGATTATTATCAGCCATCGGAGCACAGCCGCCGTCCGTCTCGGGTGGAGGCGTTGTCGGCTTTCGTATGGGCGGCGGTGATACGGGCAACTCTACAGGCGAACCCAAACCTCAAGATGCATTTGCTGACAAAAATGATTAACGTGCGAAATAAGTTGAACCCGCCATTCCCTTCGCAGTGCCTAGGCAACATCTACCAAATGGTGGCCGCTCGGTGGGAATTGGAAGCCGACAGGGGCGGAAGCGTTACTGCCGGGTTTCTTGTAGGAAGAGTCGTGGAAGCCATCCACAAGGTTACCGACGACTACATGAGGGAAATGCATGCGGAGGGTGGATATCTCCGAGCCGCGTTAGATGTATCAAAGGCGGCGGCGCTTCATAATGCGGATGAGATTAATGTTTTATTTATAAGTAGTTTGTGTAATATTCCGTTTTCTCAAGTTGATTTTGGGTGGGGCAAGCCAATATGGATTGGCTTGGGTCATACACTGGAGAACTTGGCTGTTTTTATGGATGCAGAAGATGGGGGAGTAGAAGTGTGGATTGGGTTGGCAAAAGAGGTTATGTCCAATTTAGACAAGGACATGAAATTTCATGCTTATGTGTCTTTCTCTCAAATCATTTCCGAACCGTCTTGTCCTCTGCAGTCTGCACTCTAACTGGAGGATGGAGAAAGCTAAGCTAGGCAAGTCATGCACATGCCACATGCATCATATTGGGTTGGTTCTGTGGTTCATCATATCACTTTATTAATTAGAGTATTATTTCTTATCATCAAATAATGGAGTTAATACCTCTAATGGTCCTCCGAGTATTAGGGTATTACCAGGTGTGGTCCTCCGAATTTAAAACGACAACAAGACGTTCTCCGAGTTTTAAAAAATAATCACCAGTGGTCCTCCGTTAGGATTGATTTCAAATGAGCGTTAAGTGTGAGGGTTAATCGGTCATTTCTAGTATGAGTTAATACCCCCAATGGTCTTATTTAATTTGCTATTTTTACTTGTTAATTTTCCATGCACCAATAATAAAGGTATATTTTAATTAGTGAAAAATAATATTTGCAATTGATTAAATGGGTTCGATTGATTATGTTTTATGATGTTATCATTGTTTGAATTCGAGCAAATAATTGTCCAATTACCCTTGCCATGCATGCACGGATAATTTTTTTTTTATATATTTAGATAATAAAATTAAAAAGAAATCATTACCAATTTTAATATTTGAAAGTGTATATTTATTTGCAATTATTTTTTAAAAATCGATATGTAATATGATTTATATAATTATACTATTACTAAAATAAATATGAAAAAAAAAAGGAGAAACAATTTAATTGTAATTATTATAAAAATGAATTCAACCACCATGTTTAGCTTAATTACTATAATAATTATTAGGCAATTATATTTTCATACCTTAATTATATTCATTTTCACCATACCGCCTTTACTTTTTTCCTCCTCCATATCTAAATGAATTAATTGTAATTATTATAAAAATATATAACGACCCATAATTATAACTATACTAATATCAATGTAATTATTAGCTTAATTAACATAATAATTATTAGTAAATTATACTAATATCGATGCAATTAATTCTTTAATTATCATAATAATTATAAGTAATTATACTAATATTGTGCTGTTATACATTTATACCTTCAGTAATATATATATATATATATATATATATATATATATATATATATATATATATATATATATATTAGGACTCTATGTATTTGAGTCATATTATGACTCTTTATCCTAGTCTCCCTATGATTCTCTCTTGTATATATTCCTACAATTTGTACATTTGTAATTATTGTTCGTCTAATACAATTCTCATATGGTATCAACTAAGCTAGGGTTTAGTTCCCATGGCTAACGGATTTGTCAACTCCACTGAACGGGTCGTCTCAGATCCCACTATTACTGCTTCGGTCTCTATGGCCATTAATTCTCTTTCCACTTCGCATCACTTTATCCGTATTAAACTCACCCACAAAAATTTCCTATTTTGGAGGACGCAAGTTGTGTCGTTCTTGCAAGGTCACGGGCTGATGGGCTTTGTTGTTGGGAGCAGTGTGTGTCCGGCGACTTTCCTCCTTACCGGCGATAATGCGACGCCGCAGCTAACCCCGCCTACGAGTCATGGTTCCATAATGACATCCCATGCTGATCTTTTCGCTCGCGGGGGAGGTCATGCACCTCGCAGTTGGACGTCGGTCATCGCGGGAGGTTTGACAATCGATTGAGCAGTCGCTAGCTTCCTCGTCGCGGCTCAGACTCTTCATCTTCTCGGTCAGCTTCAATCTTTATGGCAAGGTGACTCCTCCATCGCCGACTACATTGGTCTGGCTTAGATTATCACCGAGGATCTCCCGTTAGCTGGCCGACCGATTTCCTTGGACGAGATGTGATAAGTGCTTATTTGTCTATATTTTTCCCCCTTTCACTAAGCCATTTTGCTTATAGATCATTCCAAATTTCATGAGATTATGATTAAATTGTGTTACTTTGCAAGGAGTTTTGTTTGGAAACAAAGATGAGTATTTTCAGGCATTTTGGTGGACATTGGAGTCAAATGGAGCATTTTGGATGCATTAGGAGTCCATGGGAACCAAGGAGAAGCTATGGAGATGGGAAAAACACTTCCAAGGAAGCCTAAGGGTGGTGCTTTGAATGGTCTTGGTCATTTGAGCTAACCAAAGCAAAAGAGAAGCAAAAGATCAATGCATTGCAATTCCCGACCTGCACGTCGACGTCATAGTATTTGGATCATATCTCGAGCTAAAAATATCCAATTGAAGTGATTCTTATATCATTGGAAAGATAACTTGAAGGACTAAAACTTTAATTCAAGAACCAAATGATATTTCAAACGTTTCAAGGGTAAAAAATGACCTAGAAGACAGATTCAGTGCACAGGAAGTGCACACTGCCTTGTGGCCACCGGTCTGGCCACGCCCGTGGCCACTGGGCAGTGTAAACTGCATTTCTGGCCACGGGTGAAGCCACGCCCGTGGCCACACCCATGGCCAGCCCTCTACAACTTTGTAAACTGCGTTTTTCACTCATTTTAGCTCGGTTTTGACCCATGGTTGAGCCCTAGCTTCTCTCTTTCACTTCCTTTCGTATTGTAGTGTTAGATTAGGTGTAGATTTGGATTTCTTAACATATTTCAAGCTTGTAATCAAGGATTCAACACTTGGATTTCAAGATTTACCATCCATTTCTTAGTGAAGTTTTCTTCTTCCTTTTATCTCTTTATTTTGCAAGATTAATGCTTATTACATGTGTTTTTGTGTTCTTTATGCTATTTAATCATGAGTAGTTAGTTTATGGACTTGATTTAGGGTTGCATTTTCTATCTTGATGCTTGATTTGTGATTATTGCAAAAAAAGGGGGAAGAACTTCAACCTAGGGTTCATGTGTTTGTGAAGGTTTTGTATTTATATCTTGTTAATGTTTGATGTACACATTCATTAGCTTGTTTTTGGATGATTCCTTGCCTCAACGAGAGTTGGATGATGAATCCAAGCCACCCCTTGCGTAGACCCGATTTCTTCCTACGAAAATAGGGGAAATTGGAGGCTTTAGATGCTTTGTGTGCTTGATGGACTTGGAATTGATTCACCACGAAAGTTGGGCAATTCCTTGTTCTAATCCTTGTTTATTAATCACGAGAATGGTTCATATACTAGGATACCTACGTGCATTCTCGCTTAATTCCTTGGTTAATTGTTTTCCCCAATCCTTAGGTTGTGCTATGTATCTGGAAGATAATGCTCCCTAGCTTGAGTCCTATTTCTTTATTTTGTGTTTACATCTTGTTTATATGTGTTCGTGTTATTTTGTTTAGTTACCGTAGTCTTAACTTCGTTATCTTTGTGTATATGTGGTAGTCTTATCATTTCCTTAAACTTGTAGTTTGCTTAGCTTCTTGTTGATTGCCTAGTGCTAGTGCCTAGTTTCTTGTGATTGCGTATTGCGTGCCATATCCCTCAATCCCCTGAGGACGACATAACACACCCGAGCTCACATCTTATTTTTGCTACATCAAGATGAACCTGTACATTTTTCGCGACCTTCAACCAAAATTCCGCAACCTCACGACGTCACTCTTAGTTCGCGGGCAGGTTGTCACTCTCCAAGTGTAACACACCCAATTTTCAAACACCTGAACCTAATATTAACCTTAAATTTAAAGGTAGAAATGCGGAATAAAAGAAAGGGTTAAAATAAATACTAATTACCCAAAATAACTATAACTGGGGATGCTACTCCGTAGCCACTCTCAACAGAGTAACTACACAAAAAACTAACCATCAAAACATCACCATCATACATTCATAAGGGTCCCACAAAACCCAAACATCATGAGTCTAAGCTCAAATAGAACATAAGGCTCTTAGGCCTAAGTGTCAACGCACTACAAAACATAAAAGGGTAATCTGAACTGCACAAGTCTAGCATCAAAGTAAAGTTTAAGAGGATTGACAAAATATCTAGGAACTAGAATCAAAACCCTATACTATAACTAGCTCCATCTAAGCACGCTCAGCAATCATCGGTCTATCATGAAAGAGGTTAAGTAAAAAGTGTATAAAGATAACTCGTTAGCACGAATGCTAAGTATAAACCACTCTATCTTGTAAAATACATATAGATATAGATTTGGAAAATAGGTAGTTGATGTGAGCCTAATTGTGCACATTTCCAGTATTAGTTTGATTATATTTCTTAGGATTGAGTTCATAGTTTTGGTGATTTAATTGCATTTTCCCTTGTTTTATCATTTAGTTATGGTTCACACTTGTTTTGGATGTTTTACGGTGTTTGTGAGTGTTTTGGGACCATTTTAGGTCAAGTACAAGAGCAGGGAAAGTACTAGGACAATTTTGGAGTCAAAATGGACCAAAGGAGCATACACAGGAGATTCAACGCGTCGAGCTTTAAAATTTTCAAAAACTTTCTGGTTGGTGCGGCAAAGGAGCCCGATGCGTCGAATGTCAATGGGCGCTGAATTGCGAATTAAGAAAGCGGCACTGAATTGCAAATTAAGAAAGGGACGCCATTCTCCAAATTCCAAAGCTGCTTTCTCTAAATTGTTAAAAGTGTCACTTTCCAATTTTCCAAATTCCAAAGTTGCATTCTCTAAATTGGAATATGAATCAAGAATATGAAGGAATGGAACAACAGTTCCCTTTCTCAAATTTTTCCAATTCAAGACAAGGATATTTTCAAGAAAGCTCATCTCAAGAATTCATATCACAACCCCAATGGTGTTCATTTTGTGATGGGAATCACTTTATGAAAAATTGTTATATGTTGAACCCCACCAACCATGTTCCTCGACAACCTACTCAAGGATTTTGTGCCAACATGAGCCAAGCCACTTATCAAAGATGCACACCACCTACTCCACAACCCTTGTGGTGTATCATATGTGGTGGACCTCATGAGGCGCAAAATTACTTCATCTTGGATCACAATTACCGATATCGGGGGTGAGTTCAATAGCCTCCATATCAAGAGTTTCAACAAGAATGCCAACCACTTGACCCAACAATTGAGATGAAGTCCATAGAGGCCAACGAGTTAATGCAAGTGCATTCTCAATTTATGGAGCGACAAGCTCAAATTGATCATGAGATGGCTCAATGGCAAGATTTGACAATTCAAGAGCCACTTCAAGATTCATTTAATTAAGAGATTCTAGAAGAGTTGATTATTCTAAATGAAGGTCATGAGGTGGAGAGAAATAAGAAGGATGGTGAGGACCTTGAAAATGATAATGATGAGGTTATGGATGAATGCATTGAGATGGAGACACCACGTTGGGAGGAAAGTGTAGAGTTGCAAGGTAATGGTTGTACGAGGGTAATTATTTGGTCCGGTGTTCGTTCGTGGAACCCAAAACCATGTCCAAACACATTCCAACACGTAACAACAACATCATGGATTCAGTTAACATAGATTAAACCAAGAATCATTCCAATTACGTTCTAACATGTACGATTCCTAAACATGCCAAGACTCGACATCAATCAC